ACCACCAGGGCCTGCCCAGAGGTTTGCAATCTTGAAAAGTATTTATAGTCTTGAAATACTTTTATTGGTAGCATTTACTAATATATCAATAGAGTAGCATCAATGTGATATGTAATACTAGAAAAGATGATTTGATTAAATACTTTTAGACCTTGACTTTAAAGTAGCCCGTAACTTATTTTTAGCTATAGAACTTTACTGGGAAAAAATGTAATGCATGTTGCTTCTTTTTTGTTTATTTGTTTTGTTTTCAAGATTGCAGAATGGCTTTCAGATGGTGAAAGACCTGCTGTATGTTTGAAAATGGATGAGAGCCATAGACCTGTGAAACTCAAGAAAGTGGTTCTGGGATTTCCCTGCAGTAGTAACCAAACTGAATTCAAGTTCGATTTAACCCTCAACTACAAAATTTATAGTGTTATACGAACATATTCTGATGAGAAGCCCACACTTGTGGTATGGATTATTGGTTGCTGTTTTTAGCGTGATGCTCAGTTTTTAACCTGGTTAATACAGAATTTATTTATTTATTTCCAGTTTTGTGCAACAAGGAAAGGTGTACAACAGGCTGCTTTTGTGTTCTGGGATTTCCCTGCAGTAGTAACCAAACTGAATTCAAGTTCGATTTAACCCTCAACTACAAAATTTATAGTGTTATACGAACATATTCTGATGAGAAGCCCACACTTGTGGTATGGATTATTGGTTGCTGTTTTTAGCGTGATGCTCAGTTTTTAACCTGGTTAATACAGAATTTATTTATTTATTTCCAGTTTTGTGCAACAAGGAAAGGTGTACAACAGGCTGCTTCTGTTCTTGTGAAAGATGCTAAGTTTACTCTCACTATGGAACAGAAACAAAGGTATAGTTTTTTTTTAATTTCTTTTCTTGAAAGTAGGACTTTGAAATATCATTTAGGTGAAATGAGAAAAGTGATACATTCCTTAACCTTGGACAAGTTATTTGATAATCCAAGTATTAGTTGTCTCACCTGTAAAATAAGAATATTAGTGAGTTTAAGGATTGAAAAAAATGTAAAACTGGAATTAAAAAATGAATGTATAGGTATAGGAAAAAGGGTTTAATAACTTTAGGTAATTTGGAGCTTCTACTTGTTGGAAATAAACACAATGATCAAGTTGAGCTATGTCACTTTTAGTCAGGAATCAGAGGTGACAAGTATCTTATTTCCTTGCTTACAAACTAATTCTGAAATCAGTTTTGGAAAACGTGGAATACTTTGTGCAATGGTAGACTCATTCTCACAGATTTAAGTATGTGCCCTTCTAAGGTGAATACTTACTAATTAACATTTTCAGCTGAATTATATTTGTTTGTGTAAGAGTCTGAAATATATAGGTGCAAGTTCCCTTAATGCCAATTTACATTCCCTTTGCTCTGTTTGCTGCTGTGCACAGAGTAGTTATTTGTCTCAAATACTCATTTTCATGAACAGAAGCATGTGCGATATTTTAATTTTTTTTTCTTTCTTACGCTTACCTACTTCCTACGCTTTACATTCCCTTTGCTCTGTTTGCTGCTGTGCACAGAGTAGTTATTTGTCTCAAATACTCATTTTCATGAACAGAAGCATGTGCGATATTTTAATTTTTTTTCTTTCTTACTCTTACCTACTTTCTATGCTTTAAAAAAATTTATTATTTTTTATTTTATGTGTATGAGTATATTGCCTGCATGTATGTAAGTACACCGTTGTGCCATGCCCACAGAGGTCAGAAGAGGGCGTCAGATCCCCTGGAACTGGAATTACAAACAGTTGTTAGCCACCATATGGGTGCTGGGAGCCAAACCCAGGTCCTCTGCAAGAGCAGCCAGTGCTCATAACTGCTGAGCCATCT